CTGCAGGATGGGAGTATCGCTGCAGAAATCGCAAATGATGTAGGACTTTGAATTAAGGGGAGATTTGTTGAGTGTTACTTCAAAGTCCCACATCGGTGGGATAGGAAAATTGAGGAGGGATTGGAGCCTATAAATAAAGAGGAGATATAGGCTTCCATCACACAACACAATCCTTCAATCTATATAATTGTATTAGATTTTAGGTTGTGAGTGTCAAATATTGGAGAGGGTTTGTAATTTTTCCGTGCAAAAATTACTAGTGAGATTTTATCTCAGAGGGGGTCGTGGAGTAGGTCTTGAGGTGCCAAACCACGTTAAATATTTTGTGTGCTCTTTTTTTCTTTCCTTTCCATTTGTTTGCAGTAGGGGGGCCTAGCAATCCTAATAAAAATCATTCATTTTAAAAGAGGAAAATTTGGCATGTTGTCTAAATAAAAGAAGATAACAAACTTGGGACAAGAGAGTACAATATAGTTTGGTTGAAAAATGCTATGGTGCCCTCAATTGGGTGTTAATATAGGTGCATCCTATCCAACTTAATTAGCACAAATGATTATCGTCACACCAATAATTATGGTAGGAGCCAATTTAAGGCACCCTATCACATCATGCATTCATGCTTCTTGGTGGTTTGACGGCCGGGCTATCTAATCATTGCTTTCAAGACTTGAGTAATAAAGTTCTCAACTCGATCTTCTCACGTAGGCAAAAATATGCATGCCATAGATGGGCTGTAGACTAATAATCTAATATAATGCCCTTATAATCATTTCTTGTTTAATGCTCCTCTATCACACATTTACCATTGTGTAAAAGTGTAAAGCTATATGTTGGTGTGCAATAGCATTGGGTTTTTTTTTTTGTTGAGGAAATTAGGGATTTAAGAATGAAAGAAACAGATATTTTTCATTTTTTCATAACATTTTTTAAACCTTATGATTGGTCGAATAGGGCACTAATAATATTGGGGATCGGGAGGAATTAAAAAAATACAGAGTAATATTTTTCTCTATCCAGAAAAATTATTCTCATATACCATTCAAACGTTCATAATTTATTCACTTTGCTAATTTATTTTTACTACTTATTTATAATACTCTGTATAATCTATTTATGCCATCTACTGTTCGGTAGAATTTTTTATATAAATTTTATTCTGCAAGATTCCGTTGACAGTGTCATCTAATGTCAACGGATGACAATTGCCTATTTCGAGCACCTTAGATGCTCTGAATGAAAAATTAATAGTTTCTATCCCTAACCCATTCTGTAAACTCTCCACCGCATCCCCACCCCAGTCCCATTCTTGCATAATATTTCCTCCGTCCCTAAATAAATTGCAATTTTTTTCTCTCCTCTCGATAACTTTTGTTTGTTTACGCGATTTCATTAAGTATTTGATAAAATAACATATTCTTGTCACCTCTTGTTTTGTAGAACTTTTGACGTAGTTTTGTAATATCTAATTTTATATCTTATTGATATACCAATTTGTAAATAAAATGATTTCAAAAAGTAGAAAATTTTACTCCGTAACCGCAATTTGTAATTAAATTGGGGACGGAGGGAGTAGTCACATTGGAGGTCATGTGTTGACACTAGGTGACAGTGTCAAAATAAGCGAGTCTCATGTGTTGACACTAGGTGACAGTGTCAAGAGAACCTTGTCGAATTTTATTATACTCCGCAATTTTTTATGTCACATTTATAATTAAATAAATTATATTAAAGATAAATCTTCTCAATGAAATCATAAACATTTCCTGACTGAGAGTATGTAATGATTTGGACTAAGAAAGAAACAATTGCAGACAAAGGAGGGCACGCGAGCCCTAAACAGTTTTGCCCTTAATGCCACTTAATTATTACCGATTATTATTATTATTATTATTATTATTATTATTATTATTATTGTCAAGGAACCAATTCAACCAAAAGCCCAAGCTTATGGTTGTGGCCCAGGAACAGTTATTTATATTCTAACAGGCCTCCTCACGTGCAGGCGTAGTCTTTTTCGAGCCTTGCACATGAAACCTTAATTTTTTTTAAACTGGGTGACGCTGAGTTTCGAACCTGTGACCTCTTACTCAACGAGGCTCTGATACCATGTCAAGGAACCAATTCAACCAAAAGCCCAAGCTTATGGCTGTGGCCCAGGAACAATTATTTATATTCTAACTATTATTATTATTATTATTATTATTATTATTATTATTATTATTATTATTACTCCACACCTCAATCCTTAATCTTTACGACGTACGTACCTACACACATATAGGTCCCTTTGCAAATCCGAAAAATTATCGATTAAAATTTATTTTATAAGTACTTTTGTTTTCAGTTGTTTGACCCGAAGTCGGAAAATTATCAAATTTGTTTGGATCATTTAAAAAAACAAATATCCAGAAAATGCCTAATTACTGGATCAATAATAATGAAATACTTCAATGATACAAATGGAGAAAAGTGAATCTATCCACTTTTATCATTAAACAAACTTATCCAGCTTTATCCATCACAAAAATTTTCAGAGCATGAAGCAATTTCTAAATACCAAGGATATTTTCAAAGCAAGGATGGAACAGTTTGTAGCTAATAGGTTTCTAAAGCATACTACAATCAAAATCAATTTTTAGAGTCTGTTCTTTAGGGTTTAAACTCTTAACTTCTAGTTTCTTTCAGTTCTTCCAGTTTCTTTAGTGTTTAAACTCTTAACTTCCAGTTTCTTCCAGTTCCTTCTAATTTCTTCCAATTTCATGTTGTAATAAGTTGTTGTTGACATTATTCTTTTTTACAAATGAATAATTTTGTTTAGAATTACTTCTAGTTGTTTAAGTATGTAGTTATAGCATCATGTCTGCCACCTTGTGAAGATTTGAGCATCTCAAAATCCTGATCAGTCTAGGAGTCATGAAATTGTGGAAGATTGCTATTTAATGAGGGCGTAAATGTCTTGGATTACTAGTCCTAACATACATAGAAGAAGGAAAAATAAAGAGCTTGACGTAGGAATGCTAATCCTGCTTGACCTCCTACTCTTGGCTAGCTAGATCTCCTTGTCATACAAAGGGGTTGTTTGGAAACTTCTGAATATGTAAGTGTTGAACCAGTAAGAGGTCTGAACCATTAAGTTCTGAACCAGTAAGAGGTCTAGGTCTGAACCATTAAGAGCTAGTATATTGCTTAACTATTCAGAGGCAAATGTCTGATCAATTCAGATAAGAGGTCTTAACCATTCAGACTCTGTATAATACTTAACCATTCAGAGGCAAATGTCTGAACCATTTAGACATCTGAACCATTAAGAGGCCGAAACAAACAGTCTGAACCATTAAGTGCTGAACCATTCAGACATCTGAACCATTAAGAGGCTGAAACAAACAGTCCCAAAGATTGCAAGAAGAAGTCTCCTAGCTACCCTTACGCGGCTAGGGTTAAGTATATGCTTGTATATACTACATGTCTTGCATAGAAAAAGAAGCCACAGAATACTCGAGAAAAAAAAGAGAGGCGTGATCTAGTGTTTGATATTTATTCTAAGTTTGATGTGAGAGACGCTGATCATATACATCCCCAACGTGAGGAGATACATGTCGTTCTTCGTAAGAACAATTGTGCAGGAGAGAGACGCAGCAGCTTATCGTCTCCAGATCTACAAGCTAAGTTTTAGATTTTGATAAGTTGATTCAAGATCTTGGGTTGCCAACATGTATTTGAAGATACCTTGGTGAAGGGGTAATATCCGTGAAGCACTTTGAAGTTTGAACAAGGTTTGTAACGCCCCGAAAATAGGCCTATCAGAATTAATTAATTGATAATTAATTAATTACTGAGAAGGATTCAAAAATAAGTAAATCCTAAAGTTTGTCAATAATTAATAAAAATTATATCGTTGTGTAGAGTTTGACTGTCTGACCCCAACGGTTCAATCGGATTTCAATTTGGAAAAAGTTGGACCAAAAAGTGTACCCCAACTGGGACCAAAATTAGTCCCAATCAGGGACTACACACCAAATGGCGCCCTGTTCAATTACGCCGATTCCAAAATGTAAATCGCCGCAGAATCACGGAAGCAACCAAGCCTGTGTCTTCTTCTTCTCCACTGGCCTATTTAAGCACAACTCAACTCCCTCAATTCCTCACCAAAAACATTCGTTCTTCCTCCTATATTGTTCCTTGCTGAGAGTAGAGTGCAGTGGTGCTGTCATCTTTGTGTGAGGTCGCCGGAGCAGTAAGATAGAGTCGCCGGAAGTTTCGCCGGAAAATCGTCAAAATCTCCCTTACGCTTTGAGGTAAGCCCCTAGATATATCTAATGACTAGAATGTTCATATAGGTCGTTTCTACGTTCATAAATGGTCATTTGGTTGAGTTTTGTGTTTGACATGTTTGAAGAACCAAGAATCATAAACCTTGAATTTGATGTTAAAAATATGTTTTAATAATTCTAATATGATCTATGAACCTTGGAGAACATCTCTATATAGTTTAATTGAAGTTCGGTGACTAAAAATGGTTTTCCCGAAAAATGGACCGAGGTTGAAGACGAATGAACAGTGGCTGAAAATCCACAGAGTGNTAGATATATCTAATGACTAGAATGTTCATATAGGTCGTTTCTACGTTCATAAATGGTCATTTGGTTGAGTTTTGTGTTTGACATGTTTGAAGAACCAAGAATCATAAACCTTGAATTTGATGTTAAAAATATGTTTTAATAATTCTAATATGATCTATGAACCTTGGAGAACATCTCTATATAGTTTAATTGAAGTTTGGTGACTAAAAATGGTTTTCCCGAAAAATGGACCGAGGTTGAAGACGAATGAACAGTGGCTGAAAATCCACAGAGTGGATCGATCCCCTTCATTGGATCGATCCTCTAGGAGTTTTTCTTCTAGTTGGATCGATCCAGAGGGCTGGATCGATCCTCCGAAACTCTGGTCCGAAAATTTGTCTGAAATTGCTATTTTTGAGCTCTAAAATCCTACTTTTGATACCAATTGATTATGATTATTATAAAAATGTTTTTTCACAAAAAGAATGATGTTTTTAAACAAATTAAAGCATTATGTGATGGATGACGGTAAGTTCGGGTGTTAACACTCGAGACTAGACCGCTATTTGTTGTTAAACGTCTTGTTGAATGATCATTATGATGAATAATTGTTATGAATGATTATGAATGATAAACCTACTGATTAGAATGATTATTGATGACTTAATCATGATTAAAATTGGACATATTGATAATCATAACGAGAATGTATTGTTAAGGGTATCTAGAACAACTCTAAGATATACCCATAATGAAATTGATGTTGAAAGGTATCTAGAAGAAATCTAAGATATACCTATTTAAGTTAGGCCTTGCGGGTATGATGCCCGGTGGCTAGGGTTAAAACGTACGTACGGGATCCAAGAACCAAACTTGAGTACCTACTCGTTTGGGGGTACCACCAACCCAACAGTGAACACTACGCTGTCGGTTTTTGGTTGACCTTAAGCGAAGGTAAGTTTAAGATTTGAAAACTCTTTTTTTTTAAATATATCTTAAACTAGGCCTAGCTTAAGGATTAGGATATCTTGAACTAGAATCAGTTTAAGAATGGAATTGGCCTTAGACTAAGTATAGTTTAAGGATATTGTTGAATATTGAATATTGAATATGAAATATTGAGATATTGAAATAAAAATATTAAGAATATCATGAATGAATTATATATTGTGTGCATGATATCAAATGGTTATTTGTGAATTGAGATTCAATTTATGTGGATGTTCGACGCTTTAGATATGCTTACTCAGCTTCATCGCTGAGCGTGTAGTATGTTTTATTTGCTACACGCAGGTAGGCAGAATGATTGATTGGCATGTTCCTGGCAGCAGAAGGGGCGAGACTATCGTGGTGGAATTTGTGATTTTAAAATAAATAATTGTGTTGTTATTAAACATGGTTTAAATTGCTTCCGCACTATTGTTAAACACTCCGTATTTTGCTACAGTTATGTATTAAATAATATTTATGATAAATAAAAGTATTTTGAAATGTTTAAAATTTTACGATTACCAAGTTAATACTTTAGTTCGAAAGGGGCTGCAGATCTGGACGGATTAGGGTGTTACAAGGTTTGAGATAGAGGTATATTTTTTTAGGCTTGGTCATAACAATTTTCAAAAGTGTGTCTCAGCACATTATTATTGACCAATGTAACTTGCTTCTAAAATTTAGTCAATGACTATTACACGAGCGTGAGCCTCGCAGATGTAGGAGAATTTGCTCCGAACTGCGTAAATAAATTATCTGGTATTTTGTTTTCATTTTTTACTTTATATTCTACGTGTGTGCATGTGACGAATAAGGTGTAATAACACTCTGTAAACTATTTTTGTGATCAACGTTATTGGTTATTTCCGCAGCACTCCAAGTAATTTCAATCGATAGAATAGTTGAGCTTATGTTATTAGCTTGATTCCATCTATCATCATATGAGATATTCAAGAATATGTCAATGTATTTAGACTTCCCCTTTATTATCTGGACATGATTTATCTTTTTAGAAGTTTCAAATGAGAGCTTTTTCCTGGAGATGTTTGGAGAAGCATAGAGCGTGGACGGTCATTCCCCACTATGAGTGATGAAAATGGAGAATTGATTCCAAAACGTTATGAAATATATTCCAAGAATGAAAAGGATACAACAAAATTCAATGACCAAGCTTTGAATGCAATCTTTGGAGCAATTGATAGAACTCAATTTCATCTAATCTCAAATTGTATAGAGGTCAAGAGAGCATGAGATATCCTACTTACTACTCATGAGGGTACTACTATGGTAAAGATTGCCAAAACTTCATAATGTAATGCCCAAAGTTGAAAATATTAAGATGGAGGAAATCGAATCTATCATAAGTTTTTGTGGGCGAGTTAGAGAATTGGCGTATGTAGCCGAAAGTCTTGGTGTGCCATTTATAAAACACAAGCATGTGTTATAAGTTCTACGTTTCTTTCTACAAAAATACTCTATGAATGTCAAAGCTATTAGAAAATCACAAGAGGTCAAAAATATGTCTCTTGATGGGGATCCTAGAAGTAATTGAATTGGAGATGAACAAAGACATAAAGAGTAAGAAGTCGTGTGCTATTCCTATTAAAAACACGATTCAATTAAGATAGATGATCTTGGTGTGGATGATAACTTTCAAGAAGAGTTGCATATGGTACAAAGAATCTAAAGAAAAAATGGATTCATAAGAAAGGGAAAACTCAATTGAAGAAGAGACAAGTGGTTGATATGGAAATGGATGACAAATAGAATGTTGAAACAACCTGTGCTTTTCCATGCTTCTATAATGATGAAGATGAATCTGATGGTGATTTTGATCCAAAGAAATGCTTGATATTATTGGAACTAAATGGCAAGAGTCTCTACGGGTCAATAAAAGAGTCATCTTGGAGAAACAAAGTCTCAAGATGGCAAGAGTCTCTACGGGTCAATAAAAGCTCAATCATGAAACTTGCTGAACTATAAGAAATGAGCATCAGTGCATCATAGGGTTTGTAAAATAGACATCAATGCCCCCCTTCGATCTTCGCTGGGAAAATAGCCGGAAAATGACCAGAGAGGTTATGGGTGCAACATTTTGAAACCAAAAAACTTTAGAAATAAGTTTTGAAAACAAGAAGGGTATTGGTGTCCATTTTCTAAATCACAGTGGGTACTCGTGCTATTTAGCCATTATAATAAGCTCAATTAGTTCAAATAGTTACCAAGCTAAGAAAATTATTAAATAAAGAAAATTGGAAGATACTTTTCATTAATTAACTATAAATAAAAGAGGCCGGTTCTAGAGCCACTAGAATCCAGTGGCTACGGAAGCCATTGCCCCCCTACGGAGCTCCGTTCATGAAATTGATGATTCCTACCCCCTAACCCCCCCGGTAAACCCCCCCCCCCCCCCCCCCCCCCCCC